GCGGGAGGCGCCCTGCTGGGGAGAGGCGCTGAGCCCGGACGACGGGCGTTCGGCAGGCCGAGGCGCGGGCGCGGCGATGTCTGGAGCTCAGGTGGGGAACCCGGACGCAGCCCGCACCCTCCACAGCCCTGCGCAAAGGGGCAGCCCACCCCGGCCCCCGGGAGTTATTAGCCCGGCCAGCTTCGGTGGGCAAAGGGCGCCTCCTGGTGGCGTTTGGGGAACAGCGCGAGGGATGAGCGTGCCCTGTTAACCCAAGAGACTGGCCTTGGTGGGGGCACGGAAGATGGAGAGCCGGAGGATTTCTGGGCAAGACCATATTGACCACGTTGTTCCACCTGTTCCAGGGAGCTGAAGAGCAACAGCTTGCACTTGATGGTTCCAAGGCACTACTTAATGAACACAAACATCTTGGGAGGAGCTGTCATTTCACGTTACCCACCAAGAGCCAAAGGCTATGAGAGGGGAAGGGACCATGTGGTAGGATCAGGGGGAAACCAAGCCCCCTGACATGCGGTTCCATCCTCATTTACTACATCATAGCTGTCTGAAAAATGGGTCTGGGGAATGGGAGCCCAGCAGGAACAGGAGGCCCAAGGGACATGTGAACTCCTCAAACCTATTAGTTCCCCTTTTCCAACCCACAGGGCCTCTGTCTTGAAAGCACCAATGAACTGATTGCCTCCCCTCACACACACATACACCCTGCTAATGCTGAACACTGGACTCTTTTGACCCCAGATTGAAATGTCATCAAGTCAAGTGAGCAAACATGCAAGCAAGGTTTTTACTGGGGCATCCATTCAGGAGACAGCTCTGCCAAGAAGTCAGTTCTGCTGGCAGGAATTGGGGGAGAGGGGAAGAAGCTAGCTGAACTGTTTGCAGGTTGGGGTTTAGGAATGTTGCCCCAATGAGTTAAATGAAAGCACTGAGGCTCTAATGATGCACCTCATACTATTTGTGTCAAGAGGCACATTTGGAATCTCACACTGTAAGTTAAGGTGGGATGTTGTAATGGCTGTCAGAGTGCATTTGCCCTCTGTCCCTATCTTACACTCATCAGCACACCCAGTCTCAGCAAAATTGTTTGTGAAAAAATCGTCCCCAGACATATTTGGTTGGATCTCAGGCATGAAAGGTTTGTATGTGAACTATAGAATATTCATTGACATTTTCTTCCTCTTGGCCAGCCAGCCAGCACTGAGCTTCCTGCTTGGTGAGGAATATGACTCTCTGCAAGAGCCTTGTCCTCCCTCTCCCACCTCCATACTGGGTTTCAATGCTCCTTAGGAAGGGGAGTCACCAAACTGAACAGGGCTCCATTTCTCCAGACAAACATTATTTAGCACCTACTGTGTGCCAAGAGCAAACTGCCCACACAAGTGTGGTTTCCAAAATCCTTCATATCAGTTTTGTAAGGTAGGTGTAAGGGAAACCTAACCCCATTTCACCGATGAGGAAACCCGTTCAAGTTTAAGATCACCTGCGAGACAGTAAGGCTCTGAGGTGAATGGGCTACACAGCTGAGTTTAACTCTGGCTCTGTTCTCTCACTCTGGAACTCATTCCCCTTACTTGCACAAAGGACAAAATTATCTAATGGAAAGTGCCCTAGGCTGGCAGGAGTGAGGGGCATCCCTGTGACCCAGCCAGAGGCTTCAATTCCCTTGGCTTCAGTTTCCATCTTCAAATATGAAGGAAGTAGCCTGGAATAGTCTTAAAGTTATTTCAAACTCTGACATGCATGAATCCCTAGCCTACTGGAAGGATGCAAGATCAGCAAGACCACAGAGGCTAAGTGTCTGGGAAGGAAAATAGTATAAAAGCGAAATGCTTTCTCATATTCTTTGGCCTGATGAGCTCATCCTATGAACCAGGGAAGTGAGGAGGAGCTTTTGGCAGGTCCCAGAGATTACTGATGACTGGCAGTAGCCTTGGCTGTAGCCTCATGAGGACCCCAGTTTCTTCCTTTCCTGCAAGGGTGATATTGATTTTCTTCTTCTTTAAGTCTCCGTCCTTAGAAACAGGAGTCCCTGCCAGGCAGAGGGTGGGCAGCCATGCCAGAGAAGCCTACTGTTAGCCCCAGCTGGTTGTCCCCCACTCACTTCGGGTCTCTTTCTTCCCTCAAGGCTGGCTGCTGAGTTCTTTTAAAATACTCACTTCTTGCTCTCCACCTTCTTTCCTCCTGAACATTGGTGCCACTTGCCAATCAGAACACAGTTCCAGGCAAGCTAACTTCCCAAGCTCAGTCCTAGGTGTGAGAAGGTCTTTCCAGATCATTTTTTGATTCCACAGTAGGGGAAGGTCAGAGCCCAGTGAGCTGGCTTGGCTGATCTTGAAGGAAGAAGCAGAATGATTGGGATGTGGGGCCCCCTCCTTTAGGACTTCTTGCCAGAAACCTTCCAAGCAGCCGACTGCTGGCTGTGCTAGATAGACAGGTTTGGATGTACTTGGGCATCCCCGTGGAGGCTGGAGACTGCAGGAAGGAGTTTGTTCTCCTGGATTTACTTTCAGCTCCTTCCATCTTTGTATTTACCTCAGGGTCATGGATGAAGACTACTTGATCTGAATTTCCTACCATGTCTTTCCCACAGGTCCCTTGGAAGGTTCATAAGTGCATGAATGGAGCCAACTGAGGTACAGTGACCGGGTGATTTGTCCTCACATTTAGTGTTCATGTCATCATCATGCCACTGTCTCTTAGAAACTATCACAACCGTCTCCCTGCCTGTGGACTGGCTTCTTCCTCCAGTACACCCCCAAACGGCTGCCAGAGTGATGTATTTAAAACAAGCCCCACCACTTCACACCACTTCAAGTGAAAAATCCTTCTAGCATCCCACATAACCGGGAAGGTAAAATTGAATCTAAAATTCCTTGGCACAGACACAAGGACCCTGCTTGCTTCCCCTGCCTCTCCCATCTTCTGCCTCTGCCTGGCTCATATTCCATCAATACCAAAGTACTCCAGGTTCTCCGGTCATCCTGCCCTAACCCTCTGTGCCTTAATACACTCAATTCTGCCTGGCCTCTTCACACCCCCTAAATATACAAGTGCATTTTTACCTTTCAAAACTCAGGTTAGAAGTCCTCTCCTGCCAGAACCATCTCACACACCTCACTATCTCGTCCCTTCCTGACAGAATGAATTCTCCTTTCTCTGGGCCCCTCTTGCATATACTAGAGATTATACTTACCTACTTGTTTTGTGTTTGCTCTAATAGACTGTGAACTTGTTCTCTGGATCTATATTTTAGCTTCTCCCTTCTTTGGATTTGCCTCAGGTAGACCCATGAAGCAGAATATTTTATCTTAAATTTACCTGCCCTTTTTTTTTTCAAAGGTCCCTTCGAAGACTCATCACAAGTTCATAGAGAATATAGACTACAGAGAAAGAGTTAGTTGGGTTGAATGACAATTCTGGCAGATCACAGTTGCTCCTGTTATTAGTCCCCATAAGTCAGATAACATCCCAGCTAGCAAATATGACACTCTGGGTCCTCACTATGCTTGGAGTCTATGTTAATTTAGGCTGAAGTCGGAGTTCACATTTAAGGAGCTGGAGGATAAGGGAAGCAAGAGGCTGGTTGTACATTGTATTGCCGTACAGCGCTACAGTCCATCAATCCTATCGAAGCACTTCACTAGAGCTCCAGATTAAATGAAAGTAAATCCTCTGTGTCCTCGATGCCTGTGCTGGGGACAAATGGTTCATTCCTAAAGGATAAACTGGTCTAACAGAACCAGTTTAGAAATGGAATTGAAGTTAGGAGGAATGTTCTTTGATTTTTACCCATGCCTTACAGGATGAAATAAGCAGTAGTTTTCCCCAGTGACATTATGGATCAGTGTTGGCAAAGAACAAATAGATGTGGTCTGTGGTTTAGACATCGCATAGTCCTCAAGCCTCATCACACCATATTGCTCAGCTTCACTGGCTGCAAAGACTACAACTAATGGTGAAAAGCTGCATCCCCACTTGACGACCTTATTATAACCCAGCTCCCTTCCCCTAACATCTCTTATCTGCATTTTATTAGTCTAGGCATAATGAATACTGTTCACACTGAAATGAAAATGAAAATCTGGATCATCCTTGATCGGAATACAACCTGCCTCTCAGTGCTGCAGCCCTGCTCTCATCCCTAATGTCTCAGTCCCCATTTACTACTCTGCAGAGGAGATCAGCTGCCATGGCAATTAGTTCTTCATGAGATCTTTGGTGCCTATTAGGTGCCAGGCAAAAGAGAAAACAAGATGAATCCAGGGCGAGTCCTTTTGGAGTCCAAAGTCAAGTAAAAGGTATTGTAGATGACACATTTTCCTTCTAACAATTCTGGCCCATTCTGACTTGGGGTATTTTCTGTATGGTATCATTAACCTACATTGATCAATTAACTCAGTTTAGTGAACACTGTCCAGGCTAGAAGGCAGGGTGGGGCTGGAGAAGCAATAAGTGGTTGATGACAATTTAAGAGTCAAGGACAAGGGGGAGGCGTCACTAGGATGGGTGGAAACCCAAAACTAGAGATATGAGTCTTCCACAGAGCTGCATGTAGCTGGAGGTCTACTGTCACTACAGCTACAGATGTGGAGAAAGGGGCACTGTTGCTCATGCAAAAATGTAGACCAGGGCCGCCAAAGCTGCAGTCCTACACTCACATCTCAGAACGGCATTTTACAAGTATGATGTGCTTCCTCCTTCCACACCCCCTCTCCTCCTTGGATCCCTACAGTTAGTCTAGGTTGGTCCCATTAAGCCATGTTAAAAATACTTGCTTCTGGGAGGGAAGGGCTCAGCTGGAAGAATGATGGTCCAAGACCACCTTGGGAAGGGATGAAGCTCCTTTAACTCAGATGGGGATGGGGGGTTGGATGGAAACAAGGAAGCTGCATTTTCCTCATCCTTCTGCATCTCCAAGAGTGACCAAAGAGACCATACAAATGAGCAGGAGCAAGAGGTAGCAGGATGAGTGATAGTGCAGCATTTTCTATCTGGGAGCAAAGCTTAATCAATTTAGCAATGGCAGATACAGAGCAACGGATCTGTCATCTCCATGCAACCACCCCAGGATATCAGAAATAAGGCAGCAGTTTCCATGTTCCCCCAGGTGTTTGGTATTTGGAATTTATCCAGGGTATAGTTTTGTCTAAACAGTGGCATTGTGTTCCTAAGAATTATTATGGAGTGACATGGAGATATTTGAAGGCAAAAAAATGTGTGTGCACATTTACGTATATATGGGTATGTGGGTAGGTGTACATTTATGTCTATTTACACAAATACTATTTACATTTCAGCAGACACCTGTGTTTCAACATATTGCTGGCCAGTTGTCTTTTTAGCTCAGTGGAGCAATAATTCATTGAATAGCATCTGACAGGTAAGGTATTGGGCACTAAAGGGGACAGAAAGAAAGATTGGACATGGTTTCTACTTTCAAAAAAACATAGTCTGGTGCATTTAATTTTCCCTCCTAAAGGAAAACCTTTACATTTTATCTCACAGCAATTTTCAAGAGCTTGAGCTCCGTCCAGGAATTCAGAATAGCAAAAGGAATAAGCAGGATTTCTGTTCCCCCAGGCCAGATATCCTAATTGTCCCAGCTAAATGAGGGGGTAGGAGAACCATACTGGCCGCCGTGGTACACCCCTGTAATCCCAAATACTCAGGAGTGAGGCAGGAGGATCCAAGTTCAAGGCCAGCCTGGGCAACTCAACGAGACCTTGTCTCAAAATAAAAAATAAAAAGGGCTGGGGATGCAGCTCGGTGACATCTCCAGGACTGAAAACAACAATAAAAAAGGCAGTGGAATGTGCCCAAGTATGAATTCCCTGGAGAATACTCCACCAGACAGCTGCCATTAAAGCAAAATTTAATGTGCAATCATTTCCACACTTGTTCTCCTAGATACCAGGTAGAAATCTTAATTTTAGAAGAATTCAGTTATCTTAATTTGGAAAACACTAAAGGAAGATGTGGTAGCTGTGTTCAGGTATTTAAGATTTTCCCTATGTTTCTCTACAACAAGGATCAATGGATAGAAGACACAGAGAGGCTGATTGTAGCTCAAATAAGAAAGAATTTATGAGTTGCCTTAGGAGATAATGAGCTCCCCAGCACTGGAAGGATACAAGCAGATGGATGGCTGTCTGCCAGGAGTGCCCCACAGGGTATTCCTGCAGTAGATTAGGGCAGTCCACAAGGTACTTTCCATCTCTCATTTCTTGGATACTCAGCCCCTCTCTTTGGCCCAAGGCTAAAAGGAAATTTGAATACTTGGAGAAATGGGACACTTCTTTTTGAAGGGAGAATCTCGCCCCCAGCTCTGGATTCAATTCCCAGCAACACAAACACAAAACAAAACAATAACAGACTTGCCTGTGTCTTTGGGCCTTTAATTTTAGATACATGGACACTTTTCTTTAAATGCAGTGAAGATGCTTAATACTAGAAAATGCAGTAATTATTTAAGTACTCTATTGACAAAAGCAATGTTATTGACACACACAAGTGTTACTGGGTAAATAGCACTGATGGCCTAGTTGGAAAAGGCCAGATGTTTCCATGTGAGAAAGATAGTTCCAAAATAAGACCAGTCTGAATAAGGGAACATCCGTGTTTGCTTCTAAAATGACCTACAACACACACACATTCAGGAATGAAAACAGTATGTGCAGTAAATATGCAAAAAAAGTATCTCAATGTATCTACTGCCTTTGTACCTTGGAGTCAGTGGGCATCTCATCCAGCAGGAAGGACGGTTTCCTTCAAACATTCTCAAGCATTAAGCACTTGAGTAAAGCTCAGTACACACAGTGAAACCTAGGTCTTCAGAATACCAATGGACTCTAAGGCAACGGAGTCCACTGCTTTTCAGATGCTAATTAATTAGGACAAGGTTGAGGTGATCTGGTTGTCTTAAAAATTTGGTGGGGAAAGGGGAACAAAATTTGAAAAATATAAGCTAAAGAGGTAGACCCAGGCAAAAATACTTGGACATAAATACCTATCCATTTAATAACCAAAATAGAAAATGGAATTCTCTCCCCTAACCTCCAAAGACAAAATTTTTATTTTCCAGTAGCAGTAAAAGGATCTATTTTATAATGTTGTTGGTTAAAGAAATGGAGGGGTGGTACTCCAGGGCTGTGTTTTCAACTTCAGTTGAATTTGCTGAGTTACTATTCAGAGTCTTCTAGGTGGCAGGCACTGTCTTTGGTACTGGGTATACACTTGTGAGCAGGCGTGGTCCCTGCATGGGCCCAGGAGCTGGCCTACTGTGGTGCATAGAATAGCATGCTGCCCTGTACACCTCCAAGGCGGGCTGACTGCTGATTTCAGTCCTCAGCTCCATACAACTGCCCGGCTGGGGGTGTGGCTCAGTGGCAGAGTGTGGCTTAGCATCTGCCAGGCCTTGAGTTCCAGGCCCTGAGTTCCAGCCCCAGGACCAAAAAAAAAAAAAAAAACTCTGAGTGCATGAATGAATACATTTGGGGACACACACACACACACACACAGAGTCAATGTGCTAGGATACTTTCCTGATGTCAGTATGTAGGTACACAGCTCATCTCACCACTGCACTTCATAACAACTAACATCTGCAAAGCACTTCACAGTTTACAAAGTGTATTCACAGCCAGTATCATATTTGTTCCTCATCTCAACACTGAGTTGTGTTCTCCTCATTTCAAGACAGAAAAGTATTCCATTTAGTAGATTATGAGCCTTGAGGTGGCATTTCTTAAATTTAAATGAGCATGGCCTTCTCCAGCTGCAGTCACATTCCAACAACCCCATTGCCCTCCTGATACACGTGCTCCACAGAACTAAGCTACACCACTTAGGCGAGCTGCAATCTAAACTCTTGCCCCTTAAGGCTCCAGAGTTTTTTCTTGTCATTGAGCAAAGTCACCAGCTTTGCCTTGGGCCAGATGAAAAGATCAAAACATTCTTTGTAGAATGAAAAACAGAGGTGAGATGAGAATAGCTGGAAAATTCAATTATCACTTGAAATAAGAAAAAAATTTAAGGTAAAAATCTACCTTACTTCTAAAAGATGTTCAAGTGTATTTTGTTTTTGCCTTTCTTATTTTGTGTCTTATTTTATGTATGTGCCTGCTTTGGATCTCTCTCCCTGAGGGGCTGGGCCCAATGTTTATTAATTTAATAGAAAATATTTGGAAAATATCCCCAAGATGCCATATATGGTCCACTATCCATTTTTTAAATTTTTAGTTATAAAGGCTAAAACTAAGCATTCCAGACCCTAAAGCCAGACAGAACCATGGTATATTCTTTAACAGAGCACACAGAAAACATTTAATAAATGGGTAGATAATAAAAATACTTCAAAATAACAATAGATGAAGAGTCTCGCTGAGCAAAGGCAACGTAAAGAACGTTCCCTCCCACATCTGGACTGCACAGGATGCACCTTCCCCTTAGCTAGTACAGAAGACATGGTGTCCAGCCAGACGTGCTGTGCCACCAGCGTCACCAACACCCTAGTGAGAGGAAGGGGGAAATGGCTCTTTTGTTCAGCCCTCTTCCCTAGTGGTATCTTAGGTCTAAATAAAGAAAATACAGGCTCAGAAATAATTGACAAGCTAATGAAAAGCCACAGAGTCGGGGGTGGGGGGGGTGGCACTTAATCATATTTCCAGTAACAGAGCCAGAGGAAATGGACAGGCCCGAGCACCAAATTATCCACAATGCATGAAGCAGAGGAGATTCAAAACCAGAGGAGAGGAGTCAAGAAATTAACCTGGTTTCCATGCTAATTCAAAACTGTTTGTTTGGAGACTGAGGAAAAGGCAAGCAATGTAGTTTCCAGTAGAGAAACTGCTCGTTAATATCCTAGCAAAGCAATAACCTCGGATAATAGGAAATATTATGATGTCTCCAGAGAACAGAGAGAAATTTAGATTTACTCTCCCATCCATGGAGCTTGGTTTAATATCATATATTCAACAGAGCTGGATAAATATCAACAAGAAGGTTAAAAAATTGATTAGGGGAAATACTTTACATGACTGACAGCTGAAAACAAACAGACCAGTAAGGGGATTAAAAAAAAAAAAAAAAAAGCAAGCAGGGAGATTGTAGGTGTTTTTATTCTCCTGAAAGTAACACTGGTGATTGTGGCTCCCGCTGCGGGGAGCAGGGAAGCAGAGGGAAGGTGGGGTGGGAGGGGCGGATCTCTTGAAGGTTGCTTCTATTGGGTTTATTACAGTGTTTTATGAAGCGATACAAGAGACATCTTTAGCTAACACCAGGATCGCACTAGACACATAACAAATGGCTTATAAAAGGTTGCCGAACCTTCTAGATGACTGAACCTAAATAAATTGTCTCCTGTCTAAGCTTTTGGTGCCATATCATTTCACAATACTTGTCCAATCTTAGCCAAAACAAGGAAAAGAGGTGTGAGGTTAGGTCGAGAAGAGGAAAGGACTCCTTGTTACTTTCATATACTTTACAAACTACTTTTCTGTTTATAACTGTTAGTTTCCAAAGAGAATGGGGATGGTAGGAAAGTTCTGATCAGCGCCTTGTGCTAAATAAAACTGCTCTCAACTCTTAATGTCATTAGAGCTTTGGGGACAGGAGAAAAACACTAACTAAACACAGGTTTCTCCCAACATCTTGGCCATCCTACAGTGGTCAGGATCCCAAAGCTCCTCCTATCTTTTGCCACATGGTACATGTCCCTTGAAGGGAAAAACAAAACTGGGCAAATTGACCTAATATAAATGCATCAGCAGATTCTAATGAGATTCTTAAAAACCAAAAATAAGCCATACATTCTCATAGCTCATTCCAATTATGCCATTGCCCTGTGTACCTCCACTTGGTACAATAGACTTTTTGGGCTCTCAGGCAGTCCAAAAACACTGTGGTAATTGAGCTCTCACTAGGTATTTTGTATTGTGAAGAGCAAGCAAGAGATAAAAAACTAATTGCTACCATTTATCAAACGTTTACAACATGCTAGACACTGTGCGCGTCCTGTGCATTATTTCCAGGTTCGCAGCTCAACCCTGGGAGGCAGGTTAGCTGCACTTTGGAAATGATGAAACTGGAGCTTAGTAAAATTAACCATCTTGCCCAGTGTCCCACAAGTTAGGAAGTGGCACAGCCAGGACCATCTGACGTTCAGAGACCACGCTTCTTATCCAGCTGGAGACCTGTAACATGGGAACGGCTGATTATGCAGAGTAAGTGTACCATCTTGAGTGTGAGCAGAGGATGGATGGAGGCATTGAGTCACTCAGTGTGGGGACAGAATAGGTACTTTTTCTTCTTCCAATTTTCTAAAAAGATATAATCCATGTGCCATAAAATTCACCATTTAAAGATGTACACTTGGTTTTAGTGTGTTCATCAGTTTGTGCAGCTCTCCTCACCATCTAATTCCAGAACATTTTCATCACTCCATTCCCATTAAGAATCTCCCTCTCTGCAGACTCTGGCAACCACCAATCTACTTTCTGTGTCCATGGATTTTCCTGTTTCAGACATTCCATATAAACAAGTCAGACAAAAATGGCCTTCTGTGACTGTCCTCTATACTTAGCATTTTCAAGGTTCATTGTGTTGCATGTATTGATACTTCATTCCTTTTTAATGGCCAAATAATATTCCACTATATGGATGTACCCATTTTGTTCATCAGCTGATGAGCTCTAAAGTACTTTCAACAATGAGCTTTCATGAACACAAGACTCCTGTCCATAAATTAACCGGAACAACAAATACGTAGAGCTCAACTCCACTCTGTTCCAAAGCTGGATTTGTAGTAGACAGGTTCAAGTTAAAATAACACTGCTAACTAAAACTCAACACAGCTCAAACTAATTTTCCCCCAGGACCTCTCCCCCCTCCATGCTCCTCCTTTGCAGTTAATGGCAAGACCAGTTTCCTAGGTTCACCAAGGTTTCACTCCTCCCTCCATGTAAATGTCTGTGCCAACACGTGAGCTCTACCTCAACTATTCTATTTTATTCCCTTTGTCACTTTACCAAATTAAGCCTCTCATTTGGATATTATAATAGCCTTCTACTGGTCTCCCCACTTTCCAACCCCAGACCCTTGCTATTCTATCCTACTTAGGAGAATTCAGATTCTGAGTTCATCTTCTGAATGTTCAGCTATGTTCAAGCCATTCCAAGATTAAATGCCTTAAATGGAATGAAAATGTCTCAGGATTTCTAGCGGGGTTCAGTGTGGCTAACTGTAATTTAGTGAGGGAGAAAGGCAGAAACATGATATTCATGGACTTCTCTTTACTATTTGATTAAAAACATTTTAAAGGACAGAAACAATTTCTGCAGCTGGATAATAAAAACGAAGTTTTGGTGGCAGATAGACCCTTCTTGAATTCTCAGGAACATCATAATCACCACTAGCTTCAGTGATCTCATCTGTTAAAAAAAAAAAAAAGCCACTTACCTCTTGAGGTCCTTGTAAAGATGAAAGGTAATGGAGATGAGGTGGTCAGCACCTGACACAGTTTGTACTCCGAAAGTTGGACCTATTATTTTTAGCACTAAGCTTTGAAGCCTCTGCAAAATGTGGTGCACTACCTGGCACAGAGTGGGTGCTTGAACATGCTTGCATTGCTAAGTGGAGGTGTGAGGGTCAGGTGGGGGATGAGGACAGTGGCAGCTGCAAACTTTGGACACAGAGAACATTAAGGAGTGGTTGCAAGAAATAAAAAGGCTGAGCTTGAAACGATGAGCTGGATGTGGACAGCTAGAGAGGAAGTGGTGCATTTCAGACTGCGGGAATAGCAAAGGTACAGGCAGGACATGGAATGCCAGTGGGGAGACAGGAAGGAAGCCAAGACTTACTGGAGAAAAGGATTCGTGATGGGGAGGACAAGGAGGGAAATAAAGCTGGCGGCATAAGTTATGGACATCTCAGAAACTAAGCAGATTTGGTCTCAACAGAGCAGTAACTCCAGAGCCAGGGTAGGTTCTTGGGCAGGCAAGTGGCAGGATGAAAGTAATGTGGGGGGGAAATCGCAGGTCAGTCCTGCCTGTGACACTGGAGAGCAGGAGGAGGTGATTTATGCAAGTGTGCATCTGTGGAGATGGGCTGCAAGAAGACCTGGCTACAGTGGGAACAGAACAAGGGGTAAATCAGAGGGAAGAAAGGAAGGGACAGAAGGTCTGATGGAGGGAGGGAGGAAGGGGGTAAAGAAGAAAGGAAATCACAGTACCCAGTAACCAATACTCCAATGATCTTAATCTCTGGTCTCCTTTCCCTAAGGCCCATGTTTCATTTTTTTCTCAAACCATATTCAAAAGCTGTGCTTCTGCTGTAAATCTTTCTTTTATGAAACAAAGCTGGAAATAAGTTCACCGATGAATCAATTGACTCTGTAGTCACCGGCCGCTCTCAAGCTATTCTGACTCAAGATAGCAAGATTCTGCTTATTTGATCTCCGAGGTGTATCTAGTCTTAACCACAATTC